AAAAAAAAAAAAAAAAAAAAGACAACGTTGGGTTGCCCTGCCAAATCGGTCGGCTCATGCACTCTTCAACCAGAACCTATCCTCCATACTGCGCCTCAGCCCTACCAGCGCAACAGAAGAATCGCTCATTTTTGGTGGAATCCGTCATTTGCCTGTGGTCATGCATGTCCTTAACGCCGGCGCTGTGCAAAGATGTCGATAAGACAAGTGACGCACACCCTCTTCCATGGGAGCACTTTATTAATATTGGTGAGAAATGTGTTAAACAGAAGACCGTTGCATGGTAGGATTACAAAGTTTGGTGGTAGAAGGACGTGTCGAATCTTTCGGCGGCCTGCGCAAGGGTGTCCAGATCGGAAAACCCACGGGTCAGGGCTGGCATGGGTGGCAACAGGCCACTGCCTGCCAGGGTGTGATCGTTCGATTTGCCCAAGGTATGCATTTGTCCGAGGGGAGTGCTGTTCAACAGAGGATCGTCGTCTAGAGGCGGGTAAACAGAGCTGGGAGATACACTCTCTGGGATAGTCTGGATAGGCATAAGCACCTGAGGTGGGTCGTGGTAGAAGGCAGACTCATCGACATTGAGAGGGGTGTCGATGGCTGTCGGTGCAATGGACGTGGCCTCGGACAACGGTGGCTGGATCAAACTGGATCGACGGCTGGCTTCTGCCTTGATCTTGTCCAGCTTTTTGTGTTGTTTGGCCCTCTGCGCGTCTTCGGTGATGGCGGTCTTGCTTTTACACGTCGACCCATCGCTTGCGCTGCCCGATGCAGACGCGCCCTTGTGAGTGTGCCGTGTATCTTTATGTTGTCTTTTCGGGTAAAGGCTCGGTTGCAGATGGGGCGATGGAAACCTTTCTCTTCCGTGTGTTTCTTTCCGTGACGCGCCGCATGGCCGGCGGTGCTGAAGGTTGCTTGACAGTTATGTGACTGCGCATATGGACAGGGATATTTGGCCTTCTTCCCAGGAGCGGTTCCTAAGCTCCCGGAAGGAGAGGTTCTTGCTTGATCGCTTGGGGGTGCCGAGGTGATGGGAGACGGGACAGGCGCGGTCGCAACGGTGGATGTCGAGGGATTAGGTAGATGCTGGAGACTTGGATGAAGCGAAGCGGGCACGATGGAGTATTGAGCAGGGTTGGGGTTGATCATCCATTATTGTTCGAGGAATCGGATGAAATTGGGCGCGGATGCCCCGGTAGATCTCAGTTGGTGAGATAGTAGATAACTAAGCTCGCCGACCACCGGGAACGATGAATCCGAACTATGGGAATGACGGGAGGCACTGTTCTCGAAGCAATCCGGGACTATGACTTGGAGAGGCGTCGCCATTTGTGTGGGCTGCTGCATGTTGTAAGTCTCCGGACCCGTAAGTTGTTCGGCTGCGGAATCCTCCCCAGGATTCAAAGCACCTGCCACCAGTCTCTGTCCTGCAGTGACTATCTCCCTTAGACGTCTGACTTCGTCCTCGCTCTGCCTCAGCTGGGACAACGATGCTCTGACTCTTTCTTGCCCTTCCTCGGAGATTACCTGCCCTTGGAGTCGCTCACCGCCCTCACCGTGTGACTATCGAGGAATTGGATCAGCCGAGGGAAAAGTCTCGGATGGTGAAGATCGGGCTGGTTGCTTGGATATAAGACCTCGAAGAGAGTTCCGTTGCAGAGTACGCGAGATCGAAGATACAGCGATGAACCAGTTCACGACGACATGAATCCGCAGGGAGGAGATTTGGATGAGGTTCTCATGGTTGACGGGGGCACTAGATGTGTAGCCCACGACAAGACACGATCAGCCTTGAGCCGTAGACACTGAACTGTGTCCCGAATCACGAGGGGGGGAAGTAGAACTGGCAAGAAGTCGACGAGAGAGCGGTGGACGGCGATACCGAGTCCGACGATGAATTCGACGATCAAGCAGAAAGACGTGAAGTCTCTAGTCTTGTCGGATTCTTAGATCTGAGTTCGGTTAGAGTCATCAAGACCAGATCACGTCTACCGGATTGGAGCATATCTTTCAGCTTCAGTCAGAGTGGGTCTCGGCCGACTCGATCACTGAGCGATCTAACTGAAGGGTGAGTGCGATACTTGGGATCAATAGATGATAGATAACTAGTATTGGTATTCTGACTAGAGACTTATAGTATGACCATTAGCTCACTCCGATGTGAGTATCCCGGTCTAGGGTCGTCTTTTATGTTTTCGACGAGCGAAGCTTTGCACTTTCATCTACTGCCGCTCCTGGTACTGTGTGTCCGGGAAACGAGCCCCTACTTTTGCCCTTAATTCAATAAGAAAGAGATATCCATATGACCGCTCTTGGTCGTTCCTTCTTCTTCCTCTTTCTCCTTCTCTTCTTCCTTCTTCCCTTCTTCTTCTTCTT